TCTTTGCACAAGCATGGCCAAATCTTTGTTTCAGTTATGTTACAATATCAATGAGTAAAATACGCATCTTTATAAAACAAATCTGGCTATAGGACACACGGAACTAATTATATGGAAGAACTGCGTACAGTCTATAAATGGGTGAAGAAATAATGGATTATATACGGGTTTGTTTGTCCATAATTGGTTAATAATGAAAAGTAAAATTTTAGTAAAAATATCTTTGAAAGCTTATCCTATGTGTAATTTTAAAAATATAGACAAATGTCTATTGATACAATTTTAGTATTTTTAAAGCCTTGACATAGGATTACTCAATAATGAAAGTAGCACTTAATTCGCTTGGTGCAGAATCAATAACATGTGCTTCATGCACATGTAGGTCAAAAAAATGCCGTGGCCCATATGGTGTTCTCCACACAGAAGCTTGTACCAAGGATAGTTGTGCATGGAGAAATATAGGTCTGATCTTCAGTACCCAGAAAGTTTAGGTTATTGAATCTTAAATATGATGGTGTTTCCATATGTTTACTATGGGAGTTGAATTAGTACCGTAACTCCTGGAGTAGCAGTCAGGGTAAAGAAAATATTAGAGATGAGTAAAGTAGCAGGGGCGGGTGCAAACACTCTCACGTTGCACATCAGATGATCAAATTGGCAGATTAAATAGGTGGACTGAGTGGAGAAATTGTCGAAATGTACTTGTGTTGTTTGAATATTTAAATCTGTTATTAAATTGTTATTCCTCACGTTTTAATTTTTTGTATATTATCCACCTAAAATATCGGTATTGCTGCCTTTGGGCTCAGAGCTATATATCCATCTATTTAAAAATTTTAAATTGTACGTCCTCCTACGAAATTAGCAAGAATACCCTAGCAATTACACCAACTAAATTTGTTTATGAAAGACATTTAATATGTGTAACGGCAGAGTAGACACATACATACATACATACATATGTACGTACCTACTTACCTACCTACATATCTAACTACCTACATATATATATACATACATACATGCATGCATGCCTGCCTGCCTGCCTACCTACCTACCTACCTACCTACCTACCTACCTACCTACCTACCTACCTACCTATCTACCTACCTACCTACATACCTACCTACCTACCTACCTACATACATACATACATACATACATACATACATACATACATACATACATACATACATACATACATACATACATACATACATACATACATACATACATACATACAAATACAGGGGCATATCACTTCTCAGCATCGTGGGTAAAGTCTTCGCTAGAGTCATCCTGAACAGACTGCAGACGCTTGCCAATAGAGTGTATCCAGAGTCTCAGTGTGGGTTCCGCGCAGAGAGGTCCACAATCGACATGATCTTCTCCATCAGGCTACTACAGGAGAAGTGCAGGGAACAACACAGATTCCTCTTCATGGCATTTATAGACCTCACCAAAGGATTCGATCTGGTCAGCAGAGACGGACTCTTCAAAATCCTGACGAAAATAGGATGCCCTCCAAAGCTGTTAAGCATGGTCCAGTCCTTCCGTGAAGACATGAAAGGCACAGTGTAGTATGATGGCTCATCGTCCGGACCATTCAACATCCATAGCGGAGTGAAACAAGGCTGTGTCCTTGCCCCACGCTCTTTGGCATCTTTGCTGTCCTGCTTAAGTATGCCTTTGGGACGTCCACATAAGGGATTTACCTGCACACGCGTTCAGACGGCAGACTGTTCAACCTGGCACGACTGAAAGCAATGAGCAAAGTAAGGAAAGCCACCAATAGGGACATGCTCTTTGCAGATGATGCTACTATAGTCACTCACACAGAAGCTGAACTACAACGCCTGATGGACCGGATGGACCGCTTTGCTAAAGCATGTGATGAATTCGGGTTGACCATCAGCCTAAAGAAAACCAACGTGATGTTTCAGGACGCAGACCCTCCCAGCATAATCATCATCAACAACAAACTAGAAGTAGTCAGTGAGTTTACTTACCTTGGCTCTACCATCACCAAGAACCTCTCACTCGATGCCGAGCTCAACAAGCGGATTGGAAAGGTGTCAACAACTCTTTCTAGATTGTCGCAGAGAGTGTGGAACAACAGCAAGCTGACATTGAAGACTAAGATCTCCGTGTACCGTGCCTGCGTGCTTAGCACTCTCCTGTATGCCAGCAAAACGTGGACCCTGTATGCCTTTCAGTAGAAAAGACTGAGTGCCTTTCACATGCATTGTCTCCGTCGCATATTCGGGATCACCTGGAGCGATCGTGTGACAAACAACGAGGTGCTTCAACAGTCCAAACTTCCCAGTATGGTCACCCTCCTGGGTCATGTGCGTCGAATGGATGATGGACGGATCCCCAAAGACCTTCTCTACTCTAAGCTTGCCTCAGGCAGAAGATCAATCGGACGGCTTCAAGGATGTCTGCAAGGATGTCTTCGCTTCAAGGATGTCTGCAAGCACGACATGAAAGCTCTTGGGATCGAGGTCAACACCTGAGAAGAGCTTGCCCTCGACAAGTCCAGCTGGCGACATGCTCTGTTCACAGGTCAGGAGGCCAGCGAGGAAAAGTTACGACAGCTCGCCGATGAGAAAAGATCTCAGAGGAAGAGGATGCAGTTCCAACCAAGACCTGGCTCAAACTTCAAGTGCAGCAACTGTAGCAAGGATTGCAACTATCGTCTGGGGCTACATAGCCACAAAAGACGCTGCACAACTACAAACTGGGACAACTTTCATGGGCGCATTTCCATCGTCTCGAGACTAACGGAAGCCAACATACATACATACATACATACATACATACATACATACATACATACATACATACATACATACATACATACATACATACATACATACATACATACATACATACATACATACATACATACATACATACATACATACATACATACATACATACATACATACATACATACATACATACATACTGTTACGACCCTAGAGTTCAAGTGCGTTAAAGAATCAATTTTGTATAAATCTTTTTATTTCATTTTATTTCCTTATATCGTCTAACATGTTTTTGATAAGTTTACTTGAGTCGCAGATGAAATTCATGTTGGCACGTGCTGTGTAAGATGACAAAAATTCATCGTTCAGAAGTATTGGGAAATTGCACGCTTCCTCGTGCGAGTTCAGTTCAGGCTACGCATTAGTTTTCTCATATATGCTTTGAGATTTTGTGATTCATACACAGTCACATACAAACTGCCCTGTTCGAGAGTCAACAGTCACGGACAGACTGTCGTAGTCGAGTCGAGTCGAGTCATACAACTTTTAATTTGTTGTGCCAGAAGAATTCGTTATTATGTCTACGTAAAATAACATACCGTGTTAGCGGAACTATTCTTCACTTCTTTATAACTTTCCTAGCGAGCAACGTTGCCTATTGGGACATTTTTTTTTTCTCCCTAATTTTGGAACGGGACAACACATACATTGTTTTTGTGAAAAATTCTGGAAATTGCAGTTTGAAAAATTCTGGAACTTGCAGTTAGCCTTCGTCTGACGTGGTCAACCGCCATTTTGGACCGGAACATCATACTTTAGACTGTTTAGAACTTTTTTTAGGACTTATGTTTTTTATCATTTTTGAACAAAATTTGGATCATTCCTGTAAACCGTAAGTCTTCTTTTAAATATTTTACATTATTTCGTATTCTAGTAAAATAAATTATATGATTAAAATTTATATAGCTTCTGGTTTGCACTTTTTCTTTTTATGTTACATAGAACGAGCCGTTTCGTAACGCATCCATCCATGCATGCATGCATCCATCCATCCATCCATGCATGCATGCATACATACATCCATGCATGCATACTAACATACATACATACACTGTACCTTCAATAACCTCATAAGGCATAATTGTACGAGGCTGATGTCTACTGTATTCCCTGGGAATAACTCACTATCTCGAAGTACCCTTAGTTCTTCCATCCAAATTTGACAGCATTATTTCTAAATATTCCCCACCATGACTCAATCCTGGTGTTCAGAGTGCTTTTGCCATACATGAAAGTTCTACTTTCTATCATTTTCAATATCCAGGCTATCAGATCGTCGCAGAAACAGCATCAGGAAAATATTTTGCACTTTTGGGTCACTGTTAGATCTTCCAACCTTTTAACCAGGTTAATTTCCTGGAATATCGGTCAATGCATCCATTTATGCTCAATCGATAATGTTAGTTTAGGCCTTTTGAGAAGTATTGTCTGTCTTAACTCTACTTCTTGTGGATCCAGTATCTCAAGCACGAGTCTTAATTTCTTCCTCCTTCACTTTCAAATTATTTAAAAGGCATTTTTGATACATCCATCTGTATCTATGCATCTGTCTAGATGTTAACTGATATTCAATAAATGAAAGCACATTATCTAAATCAGAATAGCCTTTCCTCCTTGTCAAGTTAACGCAATTTCCGTTTCACATGACAAACATATTGATATTGTTAATTTATTTCGTCATATATGAAGCCAATATAGAAATACAGCTCAATTAAATGTCTAGTGTACATCTGAAACATGAAAAACTTCATTTAAAAATTTTTAAACCCCATTTCCTACGTACTAATATGTAGCTTTCTGTAGATACTGAACTTTGGTACTTACTCAGATACGATAAATAAACTGGTCATAACTTCTCTATGAATATCAGGTCAAATAAAAAATCAAAACCTAATTGTATAAGCCATGTACATCTCATCAAATTTGTGTGTGTGTGTGTTTGTGTGTTGGATTTTTAACGTTTGTTTTCACAATTTCGCAGTCAGGTCGCTACGATGTGTGCAGTGTGGCAGTTTATTGTGATTTCTAGCACTGGAGCCACATGCTGCAGATACGTAGCATTATGCCCCACCCAATCACATTATCCTGACACCAGGCCAACCAGTCCTAACACTAACCTCTTAAAGCTAAGCGTTTCGCTGTTAATACCATTTTTGCAAGTCTTACTTATGGCTCAAGCAGGGTTCGAACCCGCGACCTTCCGCATACGAGGCGGATGTTCTAACCACGAGCTTCTAATTTTAAAACAAAGACATCGCTAAAGTAGACTTTTCTATAAGACAAGTAATCTTTAGATCTTTTTACTATAACAAAGTCTCCTATGATCAAACCTGAATCCGAAATTCACATGCTATTAAACAAAGGAACCTAACTTCAGACTCTAAATTGATGTCTCAGGAGATTAAAAAGATGTGCAGATGTACCAGTTCATAAACACTCGGCTGTCGTGACAAAACAAATATAAACAAATATAACTGATTTTTCGCACAGGGAGGTATTATGAATGCATTATCACAAACATAAAAATCGTGAATATTTAAATACTGTAGAAAGTATAATGTGGGTCATTGACAGGAGTAGACATGCCTTACTTGATTACTCGTCACTTAATAAGTAGGACTTTAAATTAATTGTAGTAAATGCCCTTCAATATTTCGCCTCCAACCTACATCAATCTATCTACAATAAAGGCATCCAGTCAAAACGAGACACCCAGATGACACATTCATCATTGTAAATCTCCTTATATTAAATCGAGATCTCGGATTAGTAAACTGAGATCTCAGATTAGTAAATCGATATCTCGGATTAGTAAACAGATCTCGGATTAGTAAACAGATCTCGGATTAGTAAACTGAGATCTCGGATTATTAAATCGACATCTCTTATTTCTAAACCGAGATCTCGGATTAGTAAACTGAGATCTCGGATTATTAAATCGACATATCTTATTTCTAAACCGATATCTCGGATTAGAAAAGCGAGATCTCATATTAGTAAACCGAGTGCTCGAATTAGTAAACCGAGATTTCGGAATAGTAAATCGAAATCTGATTAGTAAATCGAGATCTCGGATTAGTAAACCGAGATTTAGGATTTTAAAAAAAATATGAAACGTGTCCCTTCACGGGCTCAGTAGATTAGCGCCACCAAAGGAATTTTTAGACTATGTTAACAACAAGCTAAGTCCTCCAATCTGGTATTCAACGTTACCTACACAAACATTAACTGATATGTGGTCGTAAAGTATTTAATGTACTTGATCCTATATCAAAATCAACAAAATCACCTCAAAGTCGTTCATGAATATACCCCATTGTCACATTGAAACAAACATTGATAAAATTTAATGGAAGATATTTACAGAAGATCTGCTCTTGGTAAAGCTTAGCATCAATGTGATTTATATAAATAAGCAACCCATGATCAATTCAGAAATGAGATTGACGATTCATCAAATATTACAAGTATGGATCAAAATGAAGTCGTTATTTTTTTCAGGATAAACAGGTACGATTAAAGATGAGTAACATACAACTGCCAGATGTATCCATACGATTTCCTACAACAGTTGTTGATAATATCGTTACTTTTACTGATCAGGGTAAACTACAAGATTCCGTTAAGTCGGTTAACTATCAGGAAATCAGGCGATTTATTCACGGAGGACATTTTTATGAATCGAAATAAAATTGTAGGACTTGGAAATCCAACCGCAGATAATGACGCTGCAACGAGAAATACTCCACGATCAAGAATCTAAGCACGTTTTAGCCAACGGTTGTATAATGCGTGCATTTCTCAACATAAATAACAATGGCATTAATAATATTAAGATACCAGAATCAGATTTTGATGCTGCAACGAAAAAATACGCCGATGATAAGGAAATATCAATAACATTTTTTAAACGATGATCAACAATGAAATAACCACATTCAAAACTGATTTTACTAATCACGTAGGTACGTTTTCAAATCTTCACAGGAACCTAAACATGGCAACAAATGAACAGTTTGGAAATCCAACAACTGTTGACATAAAACTCGATGATATTAACACAAGATTCAATGATATTGTCAGTGGAATTTCTAACATCGTTCAAAAAAACGAGTTTGATTAAAATTTTCACAAGCAGATCATCAATGCGATATACATGGTGGCGTCTGAAGCAGCGAAGTGGACACCACAAATAGCTCTATCAAACATACCGCTGAGAGTGCGGGTGTATATAGACTGTCCATATTTAGTGGTGCAAAATTTAGTATATGTACCACATTTCTATGGCGTCATTCAACCGATGCTTTCTCTAGAGTTGTATCTATATTTTTAAAAAAAGATACCGAAAGAAGAATTTATACTGGAATTCGTGTCTGAAACAGCATAATTACAATCATTAAGTATAATGAATACAACCCTCGTGATGTTGGTGACAAAGTCATCTATCGACTTTTAATGTCAGATACAATCAAGTATGTGAATGTCTGACCAAACTAAAAGTATCATTGACGATTATACAGTAAAAGTAAAACAATATCGCTGACGAATGGTTGTCTTTGATATAGTTGTCTACTCATTTTCAGCTATTGTTGCTGGATCCGGATTATTATTATAACAAAACTATGCATTCATATAAATTTATAATTATTGGTTGTTGTTGTTGTTGGGCTTAACGCCATTTTTCAGCACATGATAGGCTTTGCGGCCAGTATTAATGGTGGAAGAAGAAACCGGAACCACCGACCCTCAACAAGCTACTGACAAATTTTATGTTTTAAATCGTTGCTTCAGTTTTCCTGGAGTTGGAAAATAATTATGCATTCATCTGCCTTGAATGTAATATAAATCGCGTAGTATAGGCATTGTATGAACTACTCTGATACGCATTATGAGAATATATTTGTCTTAAACGTTATAAGACTCATTTGTCATACAGATTTCATGAATTTCTTCTCATACGAATTATCATAATTAAATTGTATATCTTAAATTTTGTTGTATAATGTATGCTGAGAATTGTTTTTTTTTTCTAAACCTGGAAATGTATCAAAGAGTCAAGTCCATTAATTAATTTGTGTAATTAAATTGTGAATTCTTATTACCAAGAAAATCGGCGTAAGTCGACTGACATAGATAGCAACTGACAGCCCACAACGTGGTGTGATGAGTTATCTAATAGGTCTAATTATATCATGGTTCCAGTTAGGCATGCGAGTAGCCGCTGGAAAAGACATAAATTCACGTTATTAGGCTGTATGTATATCAGATCAGGTGGCATCAGTACACAATTAATAAAATCCGGTTCAGTACCCACAAATGTAGTCCCAGTCTATTTTTAGATAACTTTTTCCTTTCTTCGTTTGGTGGTGATGCAAGAGTTAGATTTTGGCGTTTTTGGTAAGGATTTAAAGGCAATTGTTTATTCTTTAGAACGTGAGCTTATGGTGTGGTTGTCTGTGTGTATTTCGGCGACAGTGCACATTGAGTAATAAGGTCATGGTGATGATTCGGAAGTGAAATCTGTGTTCCGTTTCATGGTGTTTTGTTTATAATTCAGCCTCTCAAAATAATGCAGGTCAACCCTTGGCAAGAACTTTACCGTAAAGTCATCTTTGAAGGTATTTTATATTAACATATGATTTGTATTGATTGTCACACAGTGGAAAGTTCAGTACTGAGAAACAAATGTAGAGACTATATAGTAAAATTAATTGTGTTGTATGGCCTGTCAGAAAGGCATCAGTACACAATTAATAAATTCCGGTTCATTACCCACGAATGTAGTCCCAGTCTATTTTTCGATAACTTTTCCCTTTCTCCGTTTGGTGGTGATGCAAGAGTTAGATTCTGGCATTCTTGGTAAGGATTTAAAGGCAATTGTTTATTCTTTTGAATGTGAGCTTATGGTGTGGTTTTCTATGTGTATTTCGGCGACATTGCACATTGAGAAATAAGGTCATGGTGATGATCCGGAAGTGAAATATGTGTTCTGTTGCATGGTGTTTTGTGTTTAATTCAGCCTCTCAAAAAAAATGCAGGTCAACCCTTGACAAGAACTTCACCGTAAAGTTATCTTTGAAGGTATTTTAGATTAACACATGATTTGTATTGATTGTCACACAGTGGAGAGTTCAATACTGAGAAACAAATGTAGAGACTATATAGTAAATTTAATTGTGGCCAGGTTGCAAACTGATCATATCTTAGTTCTGTTGAATTACGGTAAGACAAAATCTTAAATGCTAATGATTAGGAATAGTGTTTGATCCATGAAGGAAAAAACCCTCACTTAGGTTGGGTATTATATTTTATATCAAGGAAAAGTGGCTTCATACCTTTACTGCACAGTTGAAATAGGGCAATCTACTGCTAAGAAAGTTGATGATCCAGAGAGAGAGAGAGAGAGAGAGAGAGAGAGAGAGAGAGAGAGAGAGAGAGAGAGAGAGAGAGAGAGAGAGAGAATTATACATATATACACCAGACAAAACGGAAAGTGCTATCCCTGCATCCTATAGAAGAATGCTTTGTACTAGTAGGCAGAATTAATATTTAATACACATAATACTACCCTACAGGTTAGAGAACATTTAATTCGTACTCTACGGAGATGATTCGAACCTAGGTCAGCAGGTAAACGGCATCCATCGCCTTGCCTGCACATACCAGAAAATATTCTATTACGACTAAGCACGTATCACCACGTTTCCTATATAAGCACGTATACAACGATTGTCATTTTTATAAACATTAGATCACATGTTTGTGGTCGAAAATCCAATTTGCATCGAGAAAGAACGGTGATCCTTTAATTAAGAAAAGTAATATTCATATAGTGTACAAAAATAATCCATGTTTCTATTTTAAGTGCATATTTAATATGATTTCTTAAATGTCAACATGAAAACGAATTCAATCACTTTCTTTTTTTGCAACTCAGAAAAACGTATTTAATATTCCTTTTTTAGAATCATGCATTATTGGAAAGATAGAACATTTATGTTAGAACAATGATGCATCTTAATACAAGTCACTAATTTGCAATTTGTCCCACACCTACTTATTTCTCATAATAGCTATAAAAAATTAATAAAATGGTGAACTTTTGCTCAATGTTTTAAATTATCTATTTAGTTTGCTTAATACCTCTTGCCGTTACAGTGAATTTTGTAAAACCAGCTGTAAGTTAGACCTAGTTACTCGGCTGAGTGAGTCTAAAGGAATTTATTTCATTTTCATAGACCGACGCATTAATA